ACAACTTCAAGAAAGAAATCAAAAGTCGGCGAAGCCGACCAGGGCCCAAAGGCCATTCCTTTCATACAGTGTCCCGTCTGTGTGTCATCCTGTCCCCACCCCCTAGGGATGGAACCCAGGGTCTCACACATACTAGGCAAGCACCTTACACTGAACCAATTCCACCAACCTCTTAGCTTTATGAGAGAATGAGCCCAGGATCACCAGGGATTTAACAAAAGCTAAGAGCAAAGAAACTCATAAGCAGCAGAGCTAATTCCAACAAGACTTAAAATTGCAATTTCTATCCTCAGAAATATAAGTTACTTACATCTGTGAAATACACAAATATGAAATAAAAGGCAGAGGCATTTCAAATGCTGAAGTAAAAAAAAAGTTGAAAAATAAAGTTAATAGGGCCGGGGATTTAGCTCAGTGGTTTCGCCACCTGCTACGCAAGTGCAAGGACCCAACTTCGATCCCTGGTACCAAAAAAAATAAATAAATAAAATAAAGTTAATAAACTCCTCTTAGAAAAGATAAGAGGATGAAATGAATCAGAAAAGGGAAAAAAGAAACAAAGAAATCAAGCTAAGGAGCCTCACATCCAAGCAAATATTCCAGAAAAGAGAGAAAACAGATCATCAAACAGTAATGCAAAATTCTGTATCCACAAAGTGTGGCTACAGACTGAAATGCTGAAGCAATAAATGAAAAACACCCACACTAATACACATTATCATAAAGTTCCAGAACACACAATAAGACAATTTTAAAAGTTTTCAGAAGGGCTGTGGATTTAGCTCAGTGGTTTCGGCACCTGCCTTGCAAGCTCAAGGTCCTGAGTTCTATCCCTGTAACCAAAAAAAAAAAAAAAAGCTTTCAGACAAGCAAAGAAACCACTGGGCACCCAAAAACAACAATGGAACCCTAAATAGCAACAATGGTACCTCAAAGTTAAGGAACACAGCAATGCCTTGAAAATCCTGACTGAAAAATACTTCCAAGCTAGACTCTTACCAAGCACAGGTTTGACCATGAAGACAGAACAGACACAAGGTCAATGCAAGTGGGGTTATGCCTCTTGTGCATGTTTCTGAAAAATTGTTATTATGGACTACGTTCAAGCATACACAGAGAGTATGAATGAATCAACATATGCTCCCCTTAACAATCTACTCAACCACTACCTACCTATTCTTCAAACTTCTTAAACATGAACATGCTTCTCGTACAGAAGACTACAAACCACGAAGATAAGGCATCCAGGAAAAAAAGAAAACATAAGTATGAGAGAAAAGGACTCTTAGGATGGCAGTGTTGCATCAGGAGCTCAGAGCAATCAACACAAAATAAAGAACAAAAGCAAGGTTCTAAAAATATGAAATAGATGGATTATCACGTTTGTGCAAGAAATGACGAGTTTTACAGTTACTGGAGTGTTTAAAATTTCAAATTTCTAAGATTTAAGCACATAAAAGAAAAATCAATCAAGCTCCAGGAAAAACCAAACATTGCACCAAAAGCAGTAATTATACTGCATTACTTGACTCAACAATGTTTTATATTATTATAGCCAAAAATATTATTAGGAGGCTAGTGGAGAGGAAGATGTCATGTTAAAGAGCTAAATTCCTCAACAGAAGTCAATACAAAATATCTAACATTGGTGGGTCAAGAGAAATTTGTATACATATTTTTTTCAAATTTTGAAAGTAAAAATCAGAATGAGTTAAAAATATTACTTCTGGAGCACATACTTTTTAAATTTTAAAGTCTTTTAGCACACATGATATCTTCAACTACATATTTTTATTAATATGATAAAAACTGAATCAGTCTAACTCAGGATCTTGTGCTTGCCAGGCAGGCATGGCACCACTGAGCTACATCTCCAGCTTGAATCACGTTTTATCCCTTCCCAGTACTAATCAGGCCCGACCCTGCTTTTGAATCACATTTTCTAAAAGCAAAAAATTTATAATGGCAAGAATTTTTGTTTAGTTTTGTTTTGGGGTACTGGGGATCACACTCAGGTCCTTTCGTTTGCCAGGCAGGCACAGTGCCACTGAGCTAAATCCTCAGCCCAGTGGCAAGAATACTTTTTAAACATGGGTATCAGATACATAAATTATCCATTATTATAATTTCCTATATCTACCAATTTAATAAAAAGGAGAAATAACTGCAATCTTTGGCAAACTAGTAACAGCAAAAGAAAATATGCAAAAAAAGAACAACTTTATCATGTAACAATACTTGCTGGGCTGGGGATGTAGCTCAGTGAGGCAGTGCTTGGTCAAGGACCTGGGTTTAATTCCCAGTACAGCCAAAACAAAAAAACACAATGTCCTTCAGCACACAAAAACTACGACTTTAGGAACCAATTAAATTCCAACTTAAGTATACAGATAAACCCTATTTTCAAAATAGAAATCCCCAGTTGCAAGTAATAAAGAGAATATAAAATTTTACTTTTTGAATTGACTGATTACTCACAGTCATCCCAGTGTCAAGTATGGCGGTTGTGGCAGACACTGGAAGTTGTCTAGCCAATCTATTTCTCTGTACCAGTTTTAACACAAGACCACAAATCCTTTGACAGGCCTCCTCCTTCCAGCAAGCATAGGGTGTGGTCTGTGTTCCCTCCCTTGAACTTTGGTGGCCCTCACATATGGCCTCAGGAAACCAAATGCTGCAGAAGGGAGCCTATGGGAGTTCCCTGTGCTCTGGATGCCTCCATATAATAAGTCAAACTTCTCAAAGGCCACATAAGGAGAAAGATGCTCCAGGGGACCCAGCTGTTAAACACTCCACAGGGCCCATCTAGCACAGGACCTAGGCCTCAAGTGCTTTGAGATGACCCTGCCCATGGGCATAGCTGAACCACCTATACCAACTCAGGAATGCCTACCTGGACTTTTCACTGCAGGAGATCAATTAACCTCCTACTGTGTGTATTTTACTTACGAATGGACATAGAAATGGACAACAGGACATTGGTCCATTAATGGGAAGAATGAAAATAATTGACTAGCAATACTGAAGACACTATCAGCAATGTTCCTAAAACAGGGCATACTACTGTAATTTTGTCAAATACACTTTTGGTATTCCTCCCCACTTCCAGATACACAGCTCCTAGAACCCAGGAAATCTCTAAGGGTGATATGAATGTCTTTTGTACATTAAGGAGATGACTGTGCCCAATAAAACCTTTCTGTGCCTCACAAAACAAAACAAGGACAGCTGGTCACCGGAAAAACCAAGGCAGAATTCAATAGCTCGGAACTTTTAACCTCACTCTAGGGCCTCCAAAGAGGGGAAGGGTCAAAGGTTAGTTTGACCACACATGGCCTATGGTGTAACTAAGCAAGCCTGCAAAAAGAGACGTCCATAAAAACCCAACACAGCTTGGTCTGAATAGTTTCTGGCTTGCCTAATATCTAGAGGGGCCTGCAGGGTAGTATGCATGGAATCTAGGTGCCCCTTCCCAGTGCCTTACCCCATTAAGCCTATCTTTTAGCTGGTTCACGTTTACACCTTATACTATCTCTTATAATAAACAGGTAAATCTAAGTGTTTCCTTGAGCTCTCTGAGCCACTCCAGTAAACAGGGTCATGCAAAACCAAAACAGCCAGTTCTGACATCAGGTCCAGATAGGATCAGAAGTGAACTGAAGTGGAGGGTGTTCGGTTGTTCACTGCAAGCACTGTTTGGCTGCTGGTGGGGAGAGTGTCTCCACCCACACATACATACACACTTTGGCAATCAGGGGTTCTGTGTTGTGTTAACTGTGTAGAAAATACAGAAAAGAGCACTTTTTGGTTGAGCTTACTTCTACCATACTACACATCACTTTGATCAGCCAGCTTTCCTAACAAGAAGGTGACTTCTAAATTCATAAAAAAAAAAAAAAAGAGAGAGAGAAGTTCTCACTTTGGAATGATGTACACACAAGAACTTCGGAAAATGAATTATTCTTATTTTTTTTATTATATATATTTTTTGGTACTGGGGACCGAACGCAGGTCCTTGTGCTTGCGAAGCAAGCGGCAGAATCACTGAGCTAAATCCCCAGCCCTGAATTATTATTTTAAATGACAGGCAGGATCTGGGAGGTTTCATTCACCCGTCAATAAAAATCTGACAGCAATATTTTCAACTAATGAAATAGAAATCCTTTAATGTAAATGGTATGACCAATAATACTATTAAATGTACCAGGCACTTTGACACATTATTTCATTTAGTCCTTAATCCCAATAGGTAAATTTACAGACTTTGTTTTTACATGAGACTAATGCTCAAGAAGACTAAGAAATACATCAATGTTTATACAGCTAAGAGAGCTTAGATTCTGCACTAAAAACTCTTAGATCAGTTACAGTTCAGTCATCACTGTCCTAAATTAATCTTATTGATACTGAATATTTAAATCAGTATCTATTAAAAAAGGAGCTGGGTCCGGGATTTAGCTCAGTGGTGCCGCCACCTGCTCTGCAAGTGCAAGGTTCTGAGTTCTATTACTGGTAGCAAAAAAAAAAAAGAGCTAAAGTAAAAAGATAAGGAGTATTCAGAAACCTGAATCTTTGTGATTCTTGTACAAAGAACCCCAAATACTACAGAAATTGCTCTAAATCACATAAAAGATTTTGAAACATCATAAACGTTGCTAACAGAATTCTCAGATTCATTTATCAAAGAACCTTATATCAGACATTTTTCAAAGCTCAGGTTCACATGTGAAATAGTGGATCCTTGACTGACGAACTCAATTTGTTCACAAGGGCTGGTTGTAATTCAACTTGGTTTTAAAGTTAAGACTATTTTTCCCATAAGAAATAATGGAAATACCCATAATGCATTCTGAACTTCCCAAACTGACCTTTTCACAATAAAAAAGGGTTGCATGATGTGTTTAATTTACCAGAAACACCAATAATTTTCCTAGTGTATCCACCAAAAAATTATAAAATGTGCCTAGTTTACGAGAAACAACAATTTCATACGTACTCACCATTCAAGCTGACATCTTTGGCTTTCAGAAAGGGAGGATGAAATGGAAGGTGGTTATTGTTCTGAAGGAGAGACCCCTTCCATAAGAACATCAGGAATCTGATCTCTGGTGTGCTTCCTGTCCTTGGGAGAGTCTGTAGCCCACTAGGACCTGCTTCTGGCTTTCCAGGTCTCAACCTTTTCAGAAGTAAAAACTGGTCTAAGGCTGTCTGTTTCTGTCTTTTCTTTAACAGTGTTCTGTAGTATAACAAGGCATTGTCATTAAGCAAGTGAATACAATGATTGGCTTTTTCTCTGTCTGGCTGGGTCTTCTCTACAAATGTTTGTAGCTCTGTTCATTTTTTAAGGATTTCCTCTACTGCAGAAGAAGAATTTTGTTGCACTGATTGTTGATATGCTCCCTCCTCTTCAGAAAGCTCCTCAGCTGTCATTCTCTGTTGCTCAGCCAGAAGTTGCTGAAATTTCTCTGTAGACAATTTCCCTGAGTGCTTCTCCCCCAGTTCCTCCACATAACCACTGTCTACCTGCAAGCCTGTGGATTCTGCTATAGTGACGATGTCATCAACCACAGGGTCAAATGAAGGCTCAGGCTCCTCTACACAGCCTTCAAAGCCTCTCTCCTGTATAATTTTAGGCCACATGTTCTTCCAGGCAGATCTCAGTGTCCTTAGAGAGACATTGGCCCAGGATTTCTCAACCCCACACAGGAGAGGACATTGTAATAATCCTTCCAAAACTCTTTAAGGGTTAAATTTGTATCTGAGACATCTAGAAGCACTGCAGGAACAGTTCCTTGGAGTGTGGCTTCTCAAAGTTAGCTATAATATGCTGACCCATAGGCTGCAGGAGAGGAGTTGTATTAGGTGGGAGGAACTCAACTGAGAGCCATGGGAATTCTTCAGCCAATTCGTTTTTCAAATCTCATGGGTGAGCAGGAGGATTATCCATGATGAGAGCCTTTGTCCTCTAGATATTTCTTAACAGTAGGACAGAAAGACTCCCTGATCCACTCAAGAAAATGTAGTCTTGTTACCCAGGCTTTTCTGTTAGATCTCCACATGATCCCTAGCTTATTCTTCATGACTTTATGTTTTCTGAATACTCTGGGAGTCTCAAGAGTGATAAACCAAGAAAGGCTTTGAGATCACCACTCATATTGGCACATTAACAATAAGGTTAGCCTATTCTTCATAGGCTGTGGACTGGCATTTCCTTCTCATCCTGGGTATTTTCTTCTGGGGATTTTCTTTCAGAAAAGGGCAGTTTCATCATAGTTGAAACTGAGCAGAGCAAAAGCCATTTCTCTTTGTCATTGTTTCAAAGTGGTGTATGTAATTTTCAGCAGCCCTTTTATAAGCACTGGTTGCTTCACCATGCCAGTTCTCGCTTTAAAACTGTGAAACCACCCCATACTGGCATGAAATATTTCACTATTATCACTGATGGATTACCCTTTACAAGATCTGCATTTATAGCCCTAGCTTTTCCACAAATTATAGACTCAGGCTATCATCGGCTATCTGCCTTTCGTTTATCCACACTAATAACAGCATTTCTACCTCATCTAACACTGTTGATTGTGACTTACTAATTTGACTAACACCTTTAGCAATACTAGCTTCCATATACAATTTTTTTTTGAGACAGGTTCTCACGATGCAGTTCAGGCTGGCCTTGAACTCACTATGTAGTCCAAAATGGCCTTTGGCTTGCAGCAATCCTCCTGCCTCAGTCTCCCAAGCGCTGGGATTACAGGTGTGTGCCACCATGCTCAGCACAATCTTTTCTCTGTAAGACTGTCGAGGCGGTGGATTTCCGACATGCTGTACGTATTAGCTGTACGTATTAGCAAGATTGGTCACACGAATGCCACTCTCACCTTGCTCCACAATTTCCTTCTTCTTTTCAGTTGTGATTGCTTTACCTTCCCTTCCTTCCTTAGCTTTTCTAGTTTTTGGGGAGCCATTTTATATAAAGCACTGACCAAAATCAAGTCCATAAACACGTGCATCTGGGCTCAGATTGACATGCACGCTTACATATGCTTTTCTGGCATCGAGAGTCTTTGTTTACACCCACCCAAGTCGCCAGCACTCAAGACTTTGGTCATAAGTTAGAACTAAAATTTCACTCATAACCTAAGCTGTTTGTATGTGAGGCTGGTCTTAACTCAAGGGTCTACTGTAACTCTGATTTTACTATAATCTTCTTAGACAGGTATTTACAATTCAGTTCCTAAATCTATCAGATATCTATTATTGTCAGGTTATACTAGAAAAATATTTAGTGTGATCTCTCCATTTCAAGAAACTAAAGCTGTTCTTTTTTTTTTGGTACCGGGGATCAAACTTGGGAACTTCTGCTTGCGAGGCATGTGGTGGAACCACTGAGCTAAATCCCCGACCCTTTCTCTTTTTTTTTAAAGCTGTTCTTTCATATGTGTAGGAGCCTAATATGCTAGAAACCATAAAGCTTCAAGAACGGCATTATCACTAGAAACATGTGAAAATACTTCTAAATTTTATACTTGTTTTAAAGGGTTTATTATAATAGCTGGGTGTGGCTGTACACAACTGTTAATTCCAGCTACTTGGGAGGCTAAGAAGCAGGAGGATTCCAAGTTCAAGGGCAGCCTGGACAACTTAGCAATATCCTGTCTCAAAACATAAAAAGTCCTGGGGATATAACTCAGTGCAAAGGCCCTAACTTTGATCCCAACAAGGGAAAAAGGAAAAATATATTATACTAAAGTGTGTGCTGAGCTGCACTGCTTACCTGCATCAGCTCTGGACCGCTGGCCAGGTGACTTTCCGAATGGGGTCTTCATTCATCTGTATTTACGTGAGCAGCAGAGCTGCTGAACTAGGGTGAAAATTCAGTGTTCTCCAATTTGATACTTTCCATAAAACGTCAGGGTTCTTGTTAATCCACCATCCAAGTGTCTCTTTTACAAGCTCAGCAAAACCATATGGAACCAGAAGCACTCTGTAAAATAGTGAAATAGTTCATTGCTAAAGCATGAAAATAACCAAATGCCTGGTACACCACTGAACAGAGCTTAAACACAAGTCTCAGGTAAAATGCAGAAGAGGAAAAAGAGGTAATGTGACAGACCCTAAAGAAGAATGGGTAGGAGACATCACAATCTCTTATTTGAAATTATACTACAAAAATACCATGATAAAATGCAACAGAACGGAAGATATAGGAACAACCCCCCCAGGCACACTCAGCTACCTTATCTTTAACAAAGGGGTCAAATACCCAAGTGGTGCTGGGAAAACTGGCTTTCCCCATGCAAAAGGTTAAACCTAAACCTATATCTCTCATCATGCACTGAACTAAAATGGAAATGGATCAAAAATTTAAATATAAAAACAAAAACAATCTGCTGGAAGATAGAATGGATTAAACTCTAGAAGACACAGGTGTAGCCAAAGACTTTATGAACAAAACCTTGAGAGCACAGGAAATATTACAAAGAATCAACAACTGAGATGAGATCACATTAAAAATCTTTTACACAGCAAAAGAAACCATAAACAAAAGTGCAAAGATAATCCACAGAATGAGAAAAATTTTTACCACCTACTCCTCAAAGGGCTAACATCTAGAATATATAAAGAACTAAAAAAAAAAAAATCAGACCCCCAAATTTAAAGATCCAATACAAAATGGGCATCTGAAATGAACAGACAGGGCTAGGGATTTAGCTCAGTGGTTCCGCCGCCTGCCTCGCAAGCGCAAGGTTCCGAGTTCGATCCTTGATACCAAAAAAAAAAAAAGAAAGAAAAAAGACGTTTTGTAAAGGAGGGAAGAATCAGTTTAAGGTCAAAATTCTAAACTAGCAGGGCACAGTGGCAAGTGCCTGTGATCTTAGCTACTTGGGAGGCTGAGGTGGGAGAATCATCTGGAGTTGGGAGGCCAGCCAGGGCAACAAATAGCAAAACCCCACCCACCAACATCAAAAACATTAACTACATAAACCTTCTCAGCTGGGCATGGTGCCAAATACCTATAATCCCAGGGAGGCTGAAGATGAAGGACTGCTAGAGTTCGAGGCCAGCCTGGGCTACATATACATAGTAAGATGTTGTCTCAAAAATTTTTTTAAATAAATAAAATTCAATAATTTTTTAATGATCAGTTCATCCAACAAATATTCACTAAGTGCTTACTTTTGGAAGTTCAGATTGGAGGGGAGAAAATAAAACAAGTAAACTATATAGTACGTCTAACAGCAATAAACAGCCTACTGAGAAAAGCATGGGACCCTTTCTGGGGTTAAGGATCCCTGTGCAAGGTTTAAGGGAGGTCCCCAGTATGTCACACGGTCTCACTAAGAGCTACACTCATCCCACTCACCAGTCCAACAGTGAAGACTATCCCCAGCAGCCTATCCTTGTAGAAGCCTCACATCACTCACTGACCTTATTCAGCACCAGAAACCTGTGCTTCTTTCATTCCACTCTCTTCCCACCTTGAGCATATCCCCTTTCCTCCCTCTCAAACCTAAGTAAAGACTATTTTCAGTGAGTGCATCTCACTGCCATCATAGGCCTTTCCCCACACACAGCTCCTTCCAAAGGTGAGCCTTCTGTGCTTGCTTCGGCAGCACATATACCAAAGGTGAACCTTCCATTTCTGACTGCACATCCTTACCCAAGTTCTCTGACTCGGAACCTCCCCTTGGAAACCCAGGCCATATAATAGTACTAACAGTTATCCTTTTCTGACAGTCCTTTAATCTTCCAATTATCTGCACTCATTTATTGACGATGCTAGTTTACTTCCTTTCCCAATATTCCCATCAGCATTCCTGGCAACACCAACATATGGCATGATCTTTTCAACACCTATTCCTGGGCTCTTGGACATTCCTGCTTCAAACTACCTAGCATGGTTGAGCCACATATTTGCCAGTCAAAACCTAGACTTTTTAATCACCAATACGTATCTCCAGAATATATTTCAAGCATCTCCTGCTCAAAACCACCACCTCTATTTCAGATTTTTTTTTTTTCCCCAAGAAAAGTCCTCACCATGTAGTTCAGACTGGCCCTGAACTCACTATGTGGCCAAGGCTGGTCTTGAACTTGTAGTGACCCTCCTACCTCAGCCTCCCGAATGCTGGGATTACAAGCGTGCACCACCATACACAGCTCTCCAGATTTCTTACACTAAACACCTGTACTCCAATAATTCTTCAATGCAGCCAATAGGAGAATTTTGATAATTCACCAATTAAGTTACAGGCCAGTAGAAGGAAAGGACGGATAAGAGATTATGTTACACTGACAGCTTTGGAGTAAACTAACAAAAAGAAAAACCCTGCTCCACATTCCCGTCCTGTATGTTGAAGACTAACCACTAAAGGGAACACTGCAATCTGCTTAACAGAACCAACCAACCCAGAAGCAACAAGCACTTCTCCTTATTGATGACTGCCCTATCCCAGAACTTTGCTCACTTCATGTTGGCCAGCCCCTCAAATACCCTGGATTCTTAGATCTAGCACACATTTTTCCCCAACTGCTATATGGCTGTGATGATGGTGATATTGGAGAGAATCTGCCCTAGAACCAATGCTTTATTTTTCGTCAGCATCTGTAACAGCTTACTAAACATTTTTATTTCAGCAATCTCTTGGTTTCTAAATTTTGATTAACATTACCTACGATTTTACTATTATCTCATTATGTCTCTAATTGTCCTATGCTGGCTAGGGATGGTCCATCACAGTAACTGGTTATTCTCTGCTATGCTCCATTTTGCCCATGCTTCTCAGTCGTGGTCCTGTGTAAAGTCCTGATCCAGCTCCCTTTCTGCAATGCTTACAGCTAAGGCACTCAACATGGATCAGAAATATAGAAAATTTCACTAGAAATTCTTCATCTTGAATTTTAACTCACCACTGCTACCCATACCCTCCTTCATCAGGCTTGCTGAGAAAACAGATCGAGTTACCAACCTACCAAAGTTATCAACTCATCAGTGTTCATTGCTCCTGTAAAACAGATGAACTGGGTCAGGGATTTAACTCAGTGGTGCTGTGCCTGCCTTGCTAGCGCAAGGTCCTGAGTTCGATCCCCAGTACCAATGGAGGGGGGAAGATGAACTGTCTTAAGCCATTAAGTTCTGCTATCACTTGCTCAATCCATCCCATTCTTTGGCTCCTGCACAAATCTCACCACTAGAATATTGTTATCAGCATTGAATGATTAAAGTTACTCCCAAACTTAAAAAAAAAAACCTTACCTCTTTGCTCTTTACAAAACTACTTCAAATATTACGGAAATTTTAAATCTATACAAATATTAATTTATCCTAATAAACACATTCTATGACAAGGAAGTTTTAGTTTACCAATGTTCTAAAATATGCACTATTGGGCCAGGGATTTAGCTCAGTGTCACAGCGCCTGCTTGGCAAGCTCGAGGTTCGATGAAAAAAACAAAGAGGCACGGGGTGAGGGAGGGAGGAAAAAGAGGAAAGAAAAGAGAAAAAAAGAGGGAAGGAGGGAGGGGGAGAGGGAAGGAGGGACGGAGGGAGAGAAAGAAAGAAAGGAAGGAAGGAACGAAGGAAGGAAGAAAGGAGGGAGGGAGTGCAAGCACACATGCACTATTCTCACTAGCAGATTTAAAGTTTTATTTGCAATATTTTCTATTGCTTTCCACTTCATTAAAAGGATCAAGCTGAACTTGCTAACAAACTTAAAAAAGATAGTAGTTGAAGGAAAAGTTGCCATGGGAGAAGGAAACAAGAGGACTTTTTTTTTTGAGATGGGGTCTTGGTATGCAGTCCAGTCTGGCCTTGAATTTACAGGGATCCTCCTGCATCAGCCCCCCAAGTGCTGGGATTACAGGTGTGCATCACCACACATGGCTAATTTATTCTATTAAGTAGTTAAGTTAGTAAATAAGAATAACAAGTAAAGTTTTTATAAGATTTTAAATGCTAGTAACAAAATCTCATTGTTTTTAGGAGTGATATGAGTTTTTTTCAAGTGTTAGGGGAAATGGTGTCAAGTGGAGCTAATTGTAAGGCTAGGAAAAAGACAGACCTAGGACTAGGGGTGTAGCTCAGTGGCAGAGAGGTACTTGAGCATAACAGGTCCTGGTTTCACCAGAGAAAGAGAAAGGTTAGGGGTGAGAGAGAAGGCTGACTGACTTCTTTTCAGGTGGAAAACCATCAGGTGAGGGGCTGCTGCAGAACTGGTCATTTGCTTACTATACAGGGGAGTGCCTCTTTACAACGGAGAGATTAGCCCTTCATTACAGGGAGATAAACAGCTCAGCATCCTGAACAGTAAGTCATATCTCACTCTGACCACTTCTGATATGACACCATTTACAAAGTATTAGCACACACCTGTAATCCCACCACTCAAGAAGCTGAGGCAGGAGGATGCCACAAGTTCAAGGCCAGCCTGAGCTACATAGTAAGACCCTGTCTCAAAAAACAAAAACAAACAAAAATCTAGACAAGCAAGCACTAAGAAGAGGCTGGGTCTCTTTTTCAAGGGACCTGGAGGGCAATCAGCAGCTCCAAAATCAAGCTGAATGAACATCTCCTAACCAGCCACTGGCTGCCAGAAACCCATCGAAGTGGACAACGAATGCAAACTTTGCACTTTCTATGAGAAGTGTATGGCCACAGAGGCTGACACTGGGTGGATAACAGAAGGATTTTATGGTGTCAAACACTGGTGGGAATGAATGACAAAGTTTCCCCATGAAGCAGGGTGTTTTGACTCATGGCCCAGTGTGCCTGCTACTGAGTAAGAGGCATTCTTGTTACAGACCAAGGAGAACCGGGGAGAGACTGCAAATCTGTTTGGGGTTGCACTGTAGTTGCCAATCTGAGCATTCTCAACTTGGTTATGGATTAAAAAGGAGAAAAAGATATTAATGGATTGGACTGACACCACTGTGCCTCACCACCTGGGGGCCAAAAGAGCTGGCAAAATCCACAAACTTCTCATC